CAAATAAACAAACTCTCTTTTGATCTGCCTCTCCCCAGGATTGTTACATATATACACAACTATAGGCACAAACACACACTCTTAAACATGAATCTGTATCTCCTAAAAGCCAAGGAGGAAAGGAGATGTTTAACTACTTTGAAAAGTTTAGATACTGTGGTAAAAGAGGACATAAAAATACATGTATGTGCAGACATATTTATGGTATGAATTTTTCGTCTTGAGATCCTAATTATTTATTCTATTTAGTGTCATTGCACTAAAATTCATTGTTTTTCAAGACTGAAGGTACGCTAAAATGTAATATATTAACTTGGTTTTAAAAATGTAACATTTGTCATTTTATGACAGCCAGAGTAACAGTTTCTATGTGCCTGAACAATAAACAATTTTCTTCCAGCTTTAATTTCCTTCTAACTAGTTGCCTTGTTTTGTGTCCCAGTTGGAGCTTCCTACAGACAGTTCCTTTCACGCCACAGAATTTCAAGCCTGTTTTCCTACATAAACAAGATTTAAGCAGTTATGTACTCCATCCATCCATCCATCCATCCATCCATCCATCCATCCATCCATCCATCCATCCATCCATGTCAGACCCACTTCGAGCCCACTGTTCAGTTTAAGAAAAATTGGACAGGAAGTAGAAAGCTCAAGGACAATTTCAGGTTTTCACAAAAATTGGCAGTTGTTGAGTGACAGAACTCAGAGGAAGGTAACCTTTGAGGAAGAAGTTTCAGGGTAAGCTTGGTATTCTCTGTGAGGCTTGTGGGGGCGAGTGGTGCGTTCCTGCTTCTGAACACACTTACAGCATTTGCTGGGAGGGAGGATAAAGGAAAACCATGGAAGGATGGATACTCGGGATTCCTGTGGCCTGAAGACGGATGTAGGGACACGACCCATATCCGTATGAAACTAGACAGTACTGATTTTGCTTTTTGTGGAGCGACCTGTTCTTCTGTGTGTTTTTCAGATGAATGCTCTTTATTTATTTCTAACAAATCCCAGTGAATTATTTATATATATAAGGGATGAAGAGCTGGAAGGTCTTCTGTATTAGAGCAGTAATAATTTTCAAAAGGAGGGAAAACTAACAAATCCTAACATAGGGATACATATGCAGATATCTGCCACTAAGACGATGAGCTTCTGGCAAAATCTACTTGGACGAGATAGCCTACATGACTTAATTTTACATTCTGGAGGTGTTGGTTATCTCTTCCTAGATCTTGTCACTCAGGTTTTTATGTCATGATCTTTAGTGACCTCTGAATTAGTTTTGGCAAACCGTATGAAGAGTTTGGTAATGTCTCTGCTGAATGAATGAATACAGGGAAAAACTTTAGCACATGTGATACTGCTTTCAGTGCTACTGACAGCCTGTGCAAATGTTGTGGTTTAACCTGGCAGGCAGCTAAGCACCACACAGCCGCTTGCTCACTGCCCCACAGTGGGTTGCGGCAGAGAATTGGAAAAAAGGTGAAACTCATGGGTTGAGATAAAGATAGTTTCATAGGACAGAAAAGGAAGGGAAAATTATGATAAAAGAATATACAAAACAAGGGATGCACAATGCAATTGCTCACCACCCGCTGATCGATGCCCAGCCAGTCCCTGAGCAGCGGCCACAGTGCCTCCCTGTCCAACTCCTCCACGTTTTATTGTTCAGGATGACGTCGTATAGTATGGAACATCCCTTTGGCCAGTTTGGGTCAGCTGCCCTGGCTGTGTCCCCTCCCAGCTTCCCGTGCACCCCCACCCTACTCGCTGGCAGGGCAGGATGAGAAGCTGGACAGTTCTTGACTTAGTGTAAATACTGCTCAGCAACAACTAAAACATCAGTGTGTTGTCAACATTATTCTCATCCTAAATCTAAAACACAACACTATACCAGCTACTAGGGAGAAAATTAGCTCTATCCCAGCCAAAACCATGACAACAACATGCACAGGGAGGGGAAAAGCATCCTCTTTTCCCTAGCTGGGTTTTAAAGGACCTACCACTAGGGCATGCTGGCAGGAAAATCTAGACACAGTGTTCATTGCCTGTTCTACAGCAACAGTCCGTCTAAAAAGTGGACTTCAGATTCCTGAGTCGTCTTTCACAAACACTAACGTTATTCTTACAAAACAATGTGTCTGCAGCTGTTTGAGCATATTCAAATTGCTTCTGAAATGTTGAAGTTGGTTGTGTTAGTCCACTTCAGCAATGGTGTAGTTTGCTTTGCATAAACAAAATCTGGGAAGAAAAGTACCAAAGTAAATTTCTGTTAATTAAAACATGTTCTAATGAAAGTGTGGACAAGAAAGCCTGCCCCTTCTCATGGGTTTTGTATGAAAAATTTTCAATAATTTGCACTGATAAGAAGAACTGCATTTATTTTGCTTTTTCTGAAGCATCCTCCTCTATTTTGGAATTTATGAAGCCAATTCTATGACCCAACTATGTAATCACTGATGAGGGTACATACATTGCAAGAAAAATGCAAGTACACATGGACAGACTCTGGGATCAGAAATTCAGTCAGACTACACCTGCTAATGTGTTCATCTACCTGCCTTGTAAGATTCTGACATGTTGCACAAGTGACATGTTCTCTAAGCATTGGTCTGGAGTCTTCCTCTGAATAATTGGAATTAATGGCTGTGGTCAGCTGGGCTCAAAATCTGAGCACTCAGTTTTGTGAAACATTACCATGATGGTCTGTTTACCTCCTCCTCTGCAAATGCAACTAACACTGATAGCATTATCGTGTTCAACACAAAGATAGCACTATCATTTTCAGGTACCAGAAATACTTGAGGGCATACAAAGAAAGTCTAGAGAATATAAATGATTGGATTAGGTAATTATATAACTGGTTATTAATTAAATTATCACAATAAGGCATTAGTCACAGACTTCAATAAGGAGTAGAAATGAGCAGTTGTCCTGGATTGTAACTGTACTGGAAGCAGTATGTACATTCTTTTTGGATAAAAAAATGCTACATTTGGAGACCTTATGTAAAACTGCTGGTACAGTCATGCATTGACAGTTTTGCAGCTTTAGTTTAATGATTTAAGAATAATTTAGTGTTTACATAGGAATTTTTCCAGTTACATTGTTTTGTAACACAGAATATATTATTTTAAATTTATTACATATATCCACTACACAACTAGAATACTGTAGAGCTAAGGATGCCTGGTTTTCTATGGATTTGTGTCTTGAAATTTACCTCATGTATTATAACTCCTTGGTGTCTAAAACGGGCATTACTCTGAAGCATTTTCCTTACTGCAGGCAGTATTGAGGTGCCTGTTTCCATGAGGAATTTTTAAGCACTCTGTGCCCAAAACAGAGTTCATTGTGGTCAGCCAAGGGCTAAAAAAGTTATTACACTGGGAATTCACCCCTGCTCCATACTTGTATCCTATAAGAATACCAGGCTAAAATGCCTGTCCTTATTAATTTAATTCTGTATGAACAAATCTGTCCCTTAATACACTAGGTATATTGCTCTGAAATGACTGAAGATGGGGCATGAAAATATGTCATATGTCACAAACTGTGAATATATCTCAAAAGAAGTAAAGTGTCCTTTGACAGATACTTTTGTCTTGTTCCTGCATACCAGGTGTATGTTCAAATCAAAAGGTGTAGTAAGGGAGAGGTTAGGTAGTGTCTATTGAACATTTTGTAATTAGGTCCACCTACAAAGTAAGATGTAAACTGTAAGTAACATTCTACAAACTCTATTTTATGTTATGGAAAGTTTAAGCCTTTTTCCACATAGACAATAGGGTGTCAGATAATCTGTGTATCCTTCAGCTAGTCTGTCAGAGACTTCCTTCTGGGAACGCTGGATGAATCACTTCATGCTCCATGCCTTGATTCTCCCTGCAGAACATTAAGATATCAGCTACTGTTTTCAATTTACATTTTAAAATACATATTTCAAATTTTATGCTTATAATGCTTGCTGTAAGCATTAATTCAAAAAACGGTAACATGATAATTGCATGGCCTCAGAGTAAAATACTGTTCCATATCCAGGCTTGCCTTAGTGGTTGAAGCTGATTTGTTTTTCAAAGAAAGATCGAAACAGTTCTATATAAATAGGTAATAAATGAAGCACAGAATCCTAGAGGAGCATCTCAATGGTCAAATAAGTTATAAAATAGATACCATTCAGAACTGAGCTGTAAATCTTCAAAATCTCTTATATCCTTTTGGTCTCCAGGATCTTGTGTTACCTACTGCTTTGTACAATCCAAAAGTTAATGGTTATACAGAATGAGACATTTTCTGGTTAGCAAGGGAATTAGTTATGTTTAATTACTCTCCTGGTAATCTGCTTTGTGGTAGTTTCCTTCAAGGCTAAGCTAATCAGTAGACAGAAAATCCTCCTACCTATCAGTAAAGACTGGATGGAGCTTTTGTATTGTTGTACAAGAGCAGGGAAGGGCTGAATGGCCTTACCTACTCTCATTTCCCAAGACCCTCTTAGCAAAGCGCTGTAGAAGGGTGCTGCATTGACAGGTAAAGCTGCTGCTTCAATCCCTCCCCACAGCAGGAGGCCGTGACTTCCCCCACGGGAGGAACACGCAGAAGGCGAGTAATGAGAAAAACGTGCATTAATGAGGCTTTCAGTGCAGAAGTACTGTCTGCGAAGGCAGTTATTAATAATGATGTAAAACCCCCACACTATTTCTAGAAAGCTTGCTTACAATATTAAGTATTTCGGTTTTTTACCTGGACTTGTAAAACGCAGACTCACATGCACTCAGTGCTGCTGCACAGGCCTTTTCCCAAGCCTGTTGCTTTCACCATGTTGCCTTTTTTCTGCGCTTCCTAAGACATTGGCAAGTAATAAAGACCACAGTGGTCATCAACAGTGAGACAGCCTTCTCAAACTGCATGTTTCTCATCAGATCCTCACAAGATGCAGTATTTGGTCCTTTTAAAACACCGAACCTATTGTGTTTTTCTAACTTCCAAAGTCCTTTCCCTCAAACAAGGTTAATAAGAAAGTAAGCCAGCCTCCCAGCGAAGCACCTCACCGAGACCCACCCCGGGATTTCCCCAGCCTGCTTACTACCAATTCCGGTCTCCGTCAGCTAAAGCGGAGGACACAACTGGCGTTATTCTACAGGCAGTTAGCACAGAAGGAGGCTGAGCGGAAGGCCGCCAGGGGACACAGAAGGTGTCCCTTTG